CAAAAAAAGAAAATCAGTATTGCTTCTTCCTGATTAAAACATTTGAAAGGAACTTAAAGGACAAAATGTAACTGAACTAAAGACATTATTTTAAATACAAAGTGAAAATACAGAATTGACTTATATTCAGTGAATATGATAAATAATATAATTCATATTATTTTAAAATTATATATAAGATTTGTCCTGATTTTTTTTCTGAAATGGCCCAGTTTCAATCCCAAGAGTTCCAATTCAATTTTCAGGTCACCTAGAATGTTTTAACTCATGGAAGCTTAAACACTAACCCGAATACATGATAAAAGTAATATTTAGAGTTGTATTTGAGATGACTGTGAAACTATCCAGGCTGGGATTGTATATGCTTTCATAGTCACTATATGAAGCAAAGAATATATATCCTGCCTTCTCCAGCACAATTTAAGTCCCTACTTTAAATTTTTATATGTATTGAACTCCTCATTGCTCTTAATATACCATTTAGAACCCATGCTGTGTGACTGTCCCCCATCAGCCTTTCACCTTTGCATGCTTTGAGTTTTCCATATTTGTGTATGTGGGTAGGAATGGCAAGTTTATAGGTGATCAAAATTATGGATACTGCAAGGTGTAGTTCAGGATATGAAGTACAGTAATCAATTTGCATTAAAAATGAAGAACATCCTAATGTATATCAAACCTTTAAAAAAATCACTGTTTTAATAAGTTTTTTTTTCATTGCCACATAGTATCAAAAGAAAGTAAAGCATCACTCTTTCAAATTTTTTGTAGACCAAGAAAATACCTAAATGTAGTATTTTAGAAAACAAACACCAAAAGGAGAAGAAAGATCTCTGTACATTTATCTTTTAGAATAAAGTTTTTTTTTCTTTTTCGCTCATCAAATCTCAATTCCTCGTGCTTTTTATAAATACAATTTCCCTGTTACTCCTTCATTTCACAGTTCTGAAGCATTTTAATTATATCTCGCTTAATTCTTACAATAACTTTGAGGAAAATGCGATTGTTTCCGTTAATAGATAACAATGACACAGTTTGTCCAACATGAAATGATCACGAAGAAACAAGTCTCAAATACCACAAAATGCATTCTCCCCATCCTCTTCCTTGATCCAAATATTCTAAGTTTCACCAAAGCTTTACCTTTCAAACTGACACTTTTGTGCTCATTTCTTAACTAGTGACAATCCAATTCATCATTTCTCTGTCTGAAGAGGAGAATATAAAAATGGTACAGTAGAATAATTTTAGGTTGTGCTGATACCCATTAAGACAGGCATCACGGCAATTATTTCAGTGCTGACAAGAAGTGCGTGGGTACCTGTCTCACTTTTCTGATTCAGTTGCTGACAGTGCTCTAAATGAAGCTTCAGTTCTTTGTGAAAATTCTTTCCATTTAAGAGTCTAAAAATCAGTTTTTCTTTTTCCTCAAAAGTGTTTTCATAACCAGTTTTATGTGGGGAGAAAAGTTCTAGAGAAAAACTCCTTAGAAGAACTTCAAATACCTTGTTTCATCTGCTTTCCCTCTTCCCCACTTCCTCCATCTGTTGATTCCCTTCCCATTGGAAAAAGACCTATCTTCCTACTTCCTGTTTGCTATCTTTTATTTTGCACTTTATTTATAATTCAGATTTCTCATACAAGAGAAATCATGCAGTATTTAAGCTACGTGTCTGATTTATTTCACAACGTTATGGTCTCAGGGTGGGATGAAAAGGAATTAAGATGTGTTATGTACATGGACCAACTCCATACAAGGATTATAAATAGTATATGCTTCAAATGTACCAATAAAAATTTTTAAAACTTCAAATATAATTATTTGAACACATCACAACTTGGAATAACTAAATTAATATAGCATATTGAATAAATTTTTTCCAAATGTAGATTTTTTTAAAACAAATTGACTTTACTTTTCTAATGTTAGCATTATTTTAAATGTAACTGGCCAATATCAACACTTTCCACTTATTCCAGAGTCCCATTCCTTTACATTAAGAAAGAAAAAGAAGCCATTTATGAAAGCTTATTTTTAGATATTGATCATCTCAGTTTTCTGCAAAGGGAATTAAAAACAATTAAAGTTGAATGAAAAGTAATTTGAAGCACAGCATTGTTCAAAGCATAACTATCACCATAACTGTCCACATGAGATTTCTTAAAAGCTTGGTAATAAATGCATGCCCTAGATGATTTTTTAAATATCAAAATTTAAACCCTTGCCTTATAATAAAATTCTTAAAAAGAATGTTGAGAATAATAGCACAAGTATTGAGAGCTGTTGAAAATATAAACACTTCAATATGAGAATGGGTTATATTTTCTATAAAGTTATTGATATTACATATTCAAACATTTGGTTACATGGAAATAACCAAAAATTGAATCATGTATTAGTTAGATGGTAGGTTCTTAAAATTGAAGAATATGTGGGTTGGTCACATCTGACACAAATTGTACTTCCATCCCCGCACATGTCGCCACAGAAGAACTGAATTTACTGAAAATTATTTCACCCATTCCTCTCAATGCAACACTGAGTAGTGACGAAGGCTCTGCAATCAGTGAGTTGTACAGAAAACTCTCCATTTCTGAACTCTATATGTAAAGGATAAACAAAAGGTCATTTTTTCAGGATTACTTTGTTTCCCCAAAAGCATTAGGTATGTATGAACTATGTAGCAACAAAGCATCTGCCACACTCCTTCCCACACTCCAAGAGAACATAATGAGGTTACCATTTATTGCTCCAGTCTTGGTTTATAAGACAGCAAAGTGTTAGCCTGCTACACAAACAAAATGAAAATCACCCTGTGTCATAAAAGTACATACTTGAAATTATTTTATTTTTTTTGGTGGAACCCGGGATTGAACTCAGGCCCTTGTACTTTCCAGGCAAGCGCTTATTCCACTGAACCATCTCCCCAGCCCCTTGAAATTATTTTCAAAGTTGATGTTAGACTGATTGCTTTCTCACAGAAATAACAAGATTTTCATGCATAAAAGTAAAAAAAAATGAACTTCTAATTTTTCCACTTAATTCCACAAAATCTCAAGTGTCTTAAGTTTCATGTAAATGAAAAGCTTAAATAAAACAAGCAATGATTAATACAGATTTTATCATTTAATTATTGTATCATATAATAATAAGTTAATATTGACTGTGATAGTATTATTGCCTATATAGATTGCCTATGATCACATATAAAACAGTATAATGCTAGGGATGATTACTATATAAAAACTACATAATAACTGCCCATTATATCAGAAAGAATTTCTCTCATATTAAAAGAGAGGAACCTAATAATCTGTATTAGCACCTCAAATCATTCATCTAATTCAATGCCTTTAAATTAAATAAAGCATTTAGAAGACAGAATTTCAGACATGTCACTGATAATTTATGACAAGAAAAATTACCCATAAATTATATTATTGCTTTAACCTCTGTGCTGTATAATCATATATGAGCATTGAAACCAATTTGAAGACTAGTACACAAGTTCCTGAATGCTACCTGCAAAAACTTTTACGCATGTATCAAGAAAGTGAATATCTACTAAGTTTCCATCTGCTGAGAATGTTCCTCTTCACATTGCCTGGATTTCCCTCGAATGCATTTCCTCAAGCTACAGCTGATGGACCAAATTTGGCCTGCTTCCTTTTATAACACAAGTTTTATCGAAACATGCTCACATTCCTTCTTGCTTTTCTGCTACAAGAAAGGTGAGTATAGTTGGAACAGGCACTAACTATATATGTAGTCTACACCACCTTCTATATTTACTATCTAGCCCCTTACAAAATATATTTGCTAGCCCTTGTACTAAAATGCCACCCTTCCTGTAGCTAAACAGTTGAGGCCTTTGAAATTCAGAACTGAAATTCATCCAAATTAAATATAGAACAGCTAGACTGTTTGGATACTTTCAAGCTAACAGAAAATCCACCATCTTCATGAATGGTGTAACACTGGATCGTCAAGATGTAACTTTGATGAATGTCTGATGTATTTGACATCTAAGTCACAAAAGTACTCTCTAGACTCTAATGAAAAAAAAAAAACCTAAAAATCTGTTGTTTCAGATACATGGTACACACAGTCTAACAAAAGAAATACTTAAGGAATTAAGTTTATTATTAATAAAATTTCTTATTTCTTTGACAAAATACAAGCAATGTAAGAATTTACAATTATCCTAGGTAATGAAGGACAAGGAACATAAGAAAAAATACATTAAAACATCAGTTGTCCTAATTCATCCAATAATTGTCACATCATTATGTTATCCTCTAATATCCCTATTTTTAAATCACTGGATAATGGCAAGCTAAGAAAGAAGCAGCGTTAGTAGGTTGACATCAGACTTATTGAGAATGGTGGCAGTAGGCCTTAAGATTTTTTAGCTTTCAATATAATTTTGCAGGTATCTGTTAGCCAATTCACCTCAGTGTCTATCATTTCTTCTTGTTTTACCCTACATTTGATTCAAACATTTACATTAGGTGCTAGACCCCTAAAGACATTTGATGTGGAGATCCCTGGCTTAGAAAATATTCAAAGAACATTAGTTCAGTTAATTGGATCATTGCTAAAAGCTATTACACATATTTGTTCATGTAGACATACATAAGTGAAACTAATAGGTTTAGAGCAAAAATCTGAGATTGTTATCTGAAAGGGGAAATTTAGTTTTGTGAAACACGATATAGTTAGTCATCCCACTGAAAGCGTGAGACTAATAGTCATTATGATCATATTACAATGATTTATTTAGAAGTTCGGGTTCCTTTTATATCTTCTGGTAATTAAAACCATAGTTTATGAGCCATATGCATAGTCTTCCAACAAATAATTACATATGTGGTTTCTTTGGAGCACTGTTTTTAAACCAGAAACTAGTATCTTATAAACTCTTGGTAACAGTTATATTTCTCATTGTCAAAATGAAATTGCTACTAAAATAAATTTAGGAACATTTGTAAGCTAGTACCTGTTGCACAATTGTTGTTAATTCCAAGCAGAGCTGTATAACATTATTCCTTGTAACTGAATAGTCTGTTACAGCAGCAAACGGAGACCTAAGAAAGAAAAAGAAAATTATGATAAATAGCAGCCACATTTGAAGAGCGCTGAAATGCAATAGCCTAAGATAGGATTTTTATTTTTTTTAAAAATTTTTTTTGGCAGAACCGGGGATTGAACTCAGGCCCTTGCGCTTGCCAGGCAAGCACTTATTCTACTGAGCTAACTCCCCAGCCCCAGGATTTTTAATAATATGACATAAATTGTCCTAAAGTTCACGTATTGATAAAAATAGCATTTGGGACGTAAAAACTGAGAGAAGTTTTGAAAAAGTTAAATTACAAAATCAGAATATTTGCTTTCCCATATTCAGAAGTACTTCTACCTTTCCATGTTTCTTTATATCTAAAAATAACAAAAATGCTTTAGGAAAAATAACATTCTAGTTTATTTTCAAAGGAAGGTAAAAACTTACAGAATCTATTTGAAATAATCACAATTAAGTGCTAGTAATGATAGCTAATACTGAAGGTTTTCTATCTGCCTGTAACTGTTAAAAGTGCCATATGAAATGACTTAATCTTTACAACTATTATGTATTAGGTACTCATAATTATACTAGACTTCTATAAGGCCTTAAAACTAGTAAGTGGTAGAGATGATGTTTAAACTCAGGAAGTCTGACTTCAGAACCCACACTCCCAAAAAGCTAAATACTAACATATAAGGCAGGCACGGTGGCACATACCTGTAATCCTAGGTTTTGGGAGGATGAGGCAGGTGAGTTGCTGAGAATCTGAGGCCAACCTGGACTATACAGTAAATTCAGGGTTCACCAGAGATACACAGCAAGGCCCTGTCTCAAAAATCTCAAAACAATAAAAACCAAAAATCTAATATATAATTACTGCCTCTCGTAATTTATAAATGTCACTTCATTTCTATTTTGTACTAACTTTGTGTATGAATAATAAATATATTCAGGTATAAAGTCTATAATTTGTCCTAGACAGAAAGCAACACTCCTTCCAAGTATTTTCTTACAAAATGAGTGCACAGAACCTTTAAAATGTTCTTTACCCTAATCTTATCTGAGAATGCCGATCAGGTTTTGTGCAGACAAAGCTTATATAATTGTGCAGGAAGGGCAGTTTAAGGAAAACAAAACAAATCACAAGAAAACAATATTTGAGTTGAGTATTTCTCAAATTACTGGAAATGATGTTTTATATCCTTTTCAGTAATTCACTTGGAATACTTAGGATTGCTTTCTGTTCACAAACTGAATTAAGATTCCTTTCTTCAAAGCCGTACAACTCAAATACCTTAAAGGCTAAAGAAGGTCTATATAAGAGAAGCCCTTTTTCAGTTAAATTTTTCTTTTCTTTTTTTTTTTCTGGAACCGGGGATTGAACTCAGGCCTTTGCACTTGCCAAGGAAGCGCTTATTCCACTGAGCCAACTCCCCAGCCCCAGTTACATTTTTCTAAGAATATATTTCAATCACACTTTTTTTTTGGCCATTCTAACAGCTATGTTGTAGCATGTCATTATTTTAAATTTGGATTTCCTCAGAATTTATCTATGTCATTCTTAATCTATGACAAACAGTATCCATATTTTCCTAATAACCATCTCATAATTAATCATGTTATATACACTTCATGTACATATTTACTATTCATATGTGTTCTTTTCTTCATATGTGTTCTGTGGTACTCCTATTCATACATAGTCAAGGGAAAATTATATGCATACACAAGATTGTTAAGAGTTTTGTAGATAACTTCTCTTAGTTCCTTGAAAAGAATGCTTTGCACTAATATTGTTTAGACAAGATGACAAGACAACATGCCTAAATCTTGTACTCTGATTAACTAATACAAAGCCAGCAATATGCAAACTAATACAAAGGCAGCAATATATATCAACTATTGTAAATGCCCTACTAACCTGTTTTGAAACTCAAAATGTATCAACTATTTTAACAATTAATGTACCAACTATTGTACTTGCCCTACTAACCTGTTTCATTGTTTATTTTTTCTTTTAAAGTAATAAAAATACCTTTTACCCATTTTCTGTTTGGATTATTGGTATTCTTACTGTTGTGCTTGGAACAATTCTTAAATATATGCTATATACAAGTTCCTTGGTAATAGGTGGCATGTAAATATTTCTTCTCAATCTATGTCTTATCTTTTGTAATCCCCCTCACAGGATCTTTAAGAGGCAGAACAATTGGCTTTAATATCTAAAAAAAAATCTTTCTGTGATCCGAGGTCATGCTTTTTTCTAAAAGTTTCCGTTTTTTTTTTTTTTTACATTTAGACAGATTTGAAGTGAATTTTTCTATAAGATATGAAATTTGAGTAAAAGTTTACCTTTTTCACTGTGCTTGTCTGGATAGTCCAACATCATTTCATTGAACAGTACTATTCTCCACCGAATTGCTTTTCACCTTTGTCAACTATCAGTTAACCATACTTATAAATATGTAGTCCTGGATTCTATCTCTATCCTGCCACTGTTTTAATTCCTAGTTTTATTAAAATAATTAAAATAATTTCTTTAAAAAATAAATGCACAAACATTATTTTTCCCAAATAACTATTCTTGTTTTGTTTTTCAAAAAGAATTTAAAATCATATTATATGTACCTATAAAAAATTCTGTTGGAATTTCAATGTAAGTTTCCTACAAAGAAACTGAAAGAGAATTTATCCTATTAATGTGAGTCTTTCAATTTATGAATACAGTATATCTGTGGGTTTATCTTGGATCATTTTTTATTTTATATATCAGTGTTATGCAGTTTTTTGTATGAGTCTTGGGGATGGTGCTAAATTTATGCATAGGCATCTCATTAATTTGAATTAACTATAAGTAGTGCTTTAAAAGTGTGTTTTAAAATTTAATTTGTAAATATGCTCATTGCTAATAGAAGGGAACTGGATTAAATTTTGTATGTGGGCTTCTGAATCATACTATGTTGCTAAAATCATTCTGACTTCCAACATTATACTGAACTATAGAGAAGAAAGTAAACGGATTTGAATCAGGACAAAAATTCTCAGTTTTTCACAATATAGTTTAAGTCAATAGTGGTAAACCTATGGCATGCAAGCTGTTTGTGTCTTTGAAATCTCTAAAAGGTTCACCAGCATTGGAATAAGGTTATAAATATACTTTTCACATATACTTTATTATCAAGCTTACGTAACTCTACTCCTATTTACTGGTAATTTTTTTCTCTCACAAAGATATAGTTTTTTGTACATTATGTCATATAATCACATGATTTCATCCTTTATCCAATGTGCTTCATAGATACTGATTTAATTTTTTGAAGCAGCTTTATAGAGAATAAATACCATTTACTCATACTGTGTAATTCTATGTATACATGTTTATAATTGGCTGGCTAATATTTTGTTGATCATTTAAAATCTAATTTCACAGAAACATTAGTTTGTTGTTCTTTGCGTTGTCTTTGATGGGCTTTTGTATCAGCATGGTCGCCTCATAAATGATTTTGGGAAATTCTCTGTGTTCTGGAATATGTATTGTGGAGTTGGTATAAACAGATAAAATTCCACAGCAAAGCTACCTGGGCTTGAGCTTTTCTTTGCTCCATCCCAAAAAGTTTCTAATTACTAGGTATTTGAGTAGCTGTAGTAGTCCACCATTTCCTGAAATTTTGCTTTCTGTTGTTTCAGTTACCCAGAAATACAGTTTAAAAATATTAAGCAAAAGCCAGGTACAGTGGCTCAGGCCTTTAATCCTAGCACTCAGGAAGCTGAGGTAAGAAGATCATTGAGTTTGAGACCAACGTGGGCTATCTAAGTGAGTTCGAGACCAGCCTACACTACATAGCGAGACCCTGTCTCAAAAAAAAGTAAAAAGTTCCATAAATAATAGAGTCATAATTTCAAATTGCATGCCGTTTGGAGTAGTGTAGTGAAATCATGGGCTATACGACTCTGTCCCACCTGGGATGTGAGTCATCCCTTTGTCCATTGTGTCCATACTATATAAGCTACATGTCCATTAGTTAATTAGGAGCTGTTTCAGTTATCAGACTGCTTTCGTGGTAACACAGTGTTTGTATTCAGATTACCATTACGTAGTGGCCTAATGTTGTATCACAATGCCTATCATGCATCCCTCTTCATCTGATCACTTAGATGTTGCACTGGCTTATATCAACAATATCAGAAGAGTATAATATAATAAAATGTTTGAGAGACCACACTGACATTACTTTCTTTTAAAAACATTTATTTATTTATTTGGTACAGGGTTTTGCTGTGCAGCTCAGACTCGTAGCGATCCTCTTGTTTTAGTCCCCCCAGCACTGGGATTACAGGTATGTGGCTCCACATCCCGTCTCACAGGGGGGTGCCAGAAATTGAACCTTAGTCCTTGCGATTGCCAGGCAGTCACTTAAGATTGCTGCACTATCCCCCTAGCCCTCATATTACTTTTACCATGTTCCATTGTTATACATTGTTCTGTTTTATTATTGTTGTTCTTAGTTTCTTGTTGTGCTAATTTTTGTTTGTTTGTGCAGTACCAGTGATTGAACTCAGGACCGCGCACTTGCCAGGTAAGCACTTATTCTACTGAGATATCTCCCCAGCCTGTAAATTGATAAACTGAAGTTTGTCATAAGTATTATGTGTATATTAGAAAAGTTAGGATATACAAGGTTTGTAATATTGGCATTTTTACTGGGTATATTGGAAAATCTGTCTTATCAATAAGGGACAACTACTATACAGGATCCATAATTAAATTACAGTGGTTTGTGATTTCCAATATATTGGTCCACTTCATCTATGCTGCCAAATTTGTGAATGAGTTATTTATGTTATTGTTTTATTTTTTTGTGGAACTGAGGATCGAACTCAGGCCCTTGCGCTTGCCAGGGAAGCGCTTATTCTACTGAGCCGTCTCCCTGGCCCCTATGTTATTATTTATTGACCTTTCATTTGGATAATTTCTCTATGGAGTCTTTGTTTACAATTTCATTCACATTTGTTCTTCACATTATT